AATCCGCAGAGCAGTCTCCTCCGCGCTGAATCCTCTGTAGACGACTTTGATGCAGCTCGGGGTGTCGTACCTAGTAGAGCAGCCGCTTCGCTGCGATCTATTGAAAGTCATCCCCGCGAGCTAAGATTCGTGTCCGTTCAGGCGCTCCGCCGCCGGTCCTGCGCGGACACGAATCTAGTGTCGCCCCCCTTCTTTCCCCGTAGGACATCGGAGAAGCCCTGCGGAGCCGGAGGGTACGCGCAGCCCCCGGCGCTTCGGCCCGCACGCCGACCGGCGAGAGGGCGGGCCATGTCCTTGGTGCTGAACTGGGGGGTCCCCGAGAAAGACGTCGGGTGTGCCATGTGTGGTGCAGGAGCAGCTCGTCGCCTCGAAAACTCGAAGGACCTGCGATACGGTCCCAAGGTGACCGACCGATCGGCCGATGGACGCCTATCGTGCAGGACAGGGAGTACGGCCTCAATCCAATGTATTAAGGATGCCTGTCCACATCAAAGAGACGGGAATGCTGACAAGTCTCGATTCCATGTAGTTGGAGAGTCAGGCCACCCCTGACACCCGGGCCTCGACAAACGGGACCTCTCCAATGTTCAATGTATTAAGTATGGGCATTGGTGGTCACTCTCCAATGTACAGTGTATGAAGTGTGGGCAATGGTAGTCCCTCTCCAATCTACCGTGTATTAAGTCTGGCGGCCGAGGACAAAAGCCTCGCCGTCGATTCCCGAGCTAGTCAAAAAACGACCACTCTCTCAGGTAGGTCGACCAACCTATGACATGGTCAGGCACCATTTTCTAAAATCCACCAAGACTCGCCCACGGGCTGGTCCTCAGGGCTCGGAGGCGACCGTCCCCGCTAGACCGGGTCGCTCCTCCCGCTCCCCGCCGCCGATCCTGTGCCGCGGCCACCCCGCTCCTCGCGCCACCGCCGGGATCCCCGTACTCCCTGGACACCCCGCCCGGGGCGGCCGCGGCACGGAGTCGGCGGCGGGGACCGGGAGGGGCGACCCGGCTCGGCGCGGGCGGTCTCCTCCGAGCCCTAAGGACCAGCCCGTGGGCGAGTCTTGGTGGATTTTAGAAAATGGTCCTTTACAGGTGTCTGACCATGTCATAGGTTGGTCGACCTACCTTGAGAGAGTGGTCGTTTTTGACTAGCTCGGGAATCGACGGCGAGCAATCGCGCACTCTCTCTCCAGTCGTTTTGCTACCCCGCCGGGCAGGCTGCCACTCCCCGCGAGGGCAGCCAGAGGTCAACAACCGGCTCGGAAGGCGGCCGTTCCTCCGCTACTGCGGGCGAGGTCGGCCGTGCCGAGGGCGTCCGGAAACAGCGCCGGGGGCATCGCCAGACATAGTGCGGGATCGTTCCTGACGGGACGGCTCAGGCGTTGAAGGGAAGCAACGGTCAGGTGTGGCCGGGAGTTCTGCGCTCAGGCTGCCGAGGGTTCGCGCTCAGCTCTACGGCGCGTTCCCACTTTAACGGCATTGACGGTGGAGTGGAGAGCGGACCGCCCGCTTGCGGGGCCAGGGACCCTCCATCCGCTCCCGGCGGGACCGCTAGCTCGCCCGCCCCTCGCGTCCTCGCTACCTGGTTGACCCTGCCAGTAGTCATATGCTTGTCTTAAAGATTAAGCAATGCACGTGCAAGTTTAAACTGTCTCAGTGAAACTGCGAATGGCTCATTAAATCAGTTATGGTTCCTTTGATCGTCACATCCTACATGGATAACTGTGGTAATTATAGAGCTAATACATGCGGAAGAAGCGCCGACCTCACGGTCTGGCGTGTATTTATCAGACCAAGACCAACCCGGGGTTCGCCCCGGTCCCTTTGGTGACTCTGGATAACCCAGCCGATCGCACGGTCTTCGCACCGGCGACAGATCATTCGAATGTCTGCCCTATCAACTTTCGATGGTAGGTTCTGTGCCTACCATGGTGGCAACGGGTGACGGGGAATCAGGGTTCGGTTCCGGAGAGGGAGCCTGAGAAACGGCTACCACATCCAAGGAAGGCAGCAGGCGCGCAAATTACCCTTTTTCTCGCCACAACAGCTTTCTACTCCATAAAATGCATGGCTCTATAACATATCTTGAAAAGGCGTTTTAAAACAGGTTGCCATAAATGTAATCATTTTGAGGTCTAATCAAGGTCCACCCACCTACAAAATCAACACAATATTATACCTCGGCCTTCTGAAGTTACACACACTAACCCTATCGATCACATGAAGCTCCATGTTATGAGAAAAAAGCGTAGCATATATTCTACGCAATAAGTGACTTTTGTCTAACCAGCCTCAAAATAAACATGAAAATAACAATAAAACTTAACAGACACTGGCAAATGATACTTTGCAAGTCAGAGCGAACTTGTGCGTTTCTTACCGTGCGCTAAGATAGCCGGGATAGCAGTTAAAAATGTAAGGCCGCGTTCTGAACCAGAGTCAGATCTGCGGCGCCTAACCTTTCTTCTTTCAGTTGACAGACCACGATGTAAGGTCGTCAAGAGACGATGTCGAAATACGCCAACGTGTCAGGTACTGCCCGTTATATCACCTCCAACTTTAGCTCTTCCGATTCGTTCGTACTCTGAGCATCACGAGACCATCTTCCTACCAATCAGAGACTTTAAGCTCGACATTTCCGAACCAGTTGAGGTTGCTCGTCTGTGCAGAAGCCTGTCACATCGCTCGTCTTCTCTGTTGTCAGTAAACACTGCAACCCACGCACACGCTGGCGGCACGACTTTGATTTCTCACTAGTTCGTCTCATCATAGCGGTTTTCTCGTGTCAGGTGAATGTAATTCGTTTTACAAATTCTACAAAAGTGGCAAAAGTGTAAGGACAATTTAACATGAAATTGTATTATAAAAAGTAATGGATAGTTGATTTTGGCACATGACCCTCGACATGAAGAACCAGCGTGGAATAACAAGTTACAAGTCGACGCCACTCGTACGCTTCATGGATGATATGAACCTGCGCACTTCGTATTGACGGTACGCGGTAATATTCGTCCGGACAGTTAAAACCACCAAACAGCAGTACAAAAATATAGTACGTTATTCACCCTTGGTATGTGTCATCTTGTTTGAAACAGGTCTATACACATGTCAGCACAGCACAGGGCTACATCCGGCATTTGTCATCACTGTTTATCAAATATGCCCAACCGGTACGGGCCGACGGAGAGTGTCGGGATTCTCTGCGAGCGCAACGATGACTTTTTGAACGACCACAAACCCCGTCCTCTTCCCCAAGGCTTGGTTTTAGTCGCGCTCAAAACCGTGTTACCATATCATCAAACATCAGTTGTGTAAAATGCATTAATACCTAAGTACGGAATGACAATATATTCCTAGGAAAGGAAAGATGAAGACGACCAAACAAGAAAATGCACGGTCTGTACAAAAGTTATCAGTATACAACGATGTTTTGTTCAAGTCTGTATACGTCAGCCGCTTGGTATATACATGTACGTAGAAACTCTATGAACACGGTCCATTGAATCGTGCAGTACGTTATAAGCCGCATACTATTTACCCACACAGCTCACTGAATCATACACTATACACAAAGTACTTTCTTCTTTAAAGGATCTTAACTAGTCTGATTTAACCTGTTTTACTAGCAATTCTAGCAACATTTAATTAATAGATTTTTTTTTCCAAACAGTACCCGTGCAGTCGCAGCCTTTATACGGCTGAATTGATGCAGGGTATCACATAATAATCAATACAGATCAAAACAATTACAACAATCAAATAATACACATGACACACATATGTTTTTTTGTGGAACTGTCGCAAGGGTCTGTGCGGCTGTCATTCGGCGCCACAAGGTTACCTCAATACGACTTTTCCCCAACCAACTTTTCCCGAAGTTAGGTACCCATTTACACCTGGGTGGAGTGAGGAAATTCGTGTTAAGTTCCTACGTTGTGCCCTTTCCCAAGGGCACAGCGTCGGGACGCATGTTCAGACATGTCACGGGTACGACTCGGAATCGAACTCGGGTCTCCCCGCTTCATAGTAGATTGCTCTAACCACTACACCACCCGACGCCACCTATGCCCCCGACGCCACATAGATGTCCACCTATGCGTGCTGCTGGTACAGAACCATTGCCCGCAAGTGATCCTGGCAAGATCGCCACTATATATTTTATGCAACTATAGATCTATATAGGCCTTGAACTATCCTCATAAATCTTTAAGAATATCGGCAAAGTAGATAAACCTTTGAACCGTCGTTCTGAACCAGTGTTTGTTCCGCGGTACCTCAATATTTCCTCTGACAGTTGACAGAACAGAACACGACAGAACACGATCTAAAGACGTTAAGAGACTACGTCAAAATAAGTCACATCAAACACAATCTACTTTCATTGTTCAGTATTTTTAATCCATGACCAGTTTTCTCTCCACCAATCATTGAGATCCAGGCTTGCCACTTTCGTCCATGGCGCAAGGGCAATGTCCGAACAGGTCTCCCCATTTGCCTGTTGTGTGACGACAACATAGGAGGAGCTCGCACATTCTCCTTTGTTGTCATTTAACAACCCACCAAAGTGAAAACAATTTATATGAGATCTATCTTTTATCCTTGCAGTTCTAGTTTTGTTTATTACTAAGATATTGCAACATGTTTGAAACAGGTCTTTACACATGTCTGCAAAAACTGGTAGTTTTAAATTTCTCTTAGTCAGTCGTGCCAGTTAGTCAGTCTGATTTGAGCAGGACTACTTGGAGCATCGCCAGGCAAGGGAGAAGCTGTCACTCTTGTAGATTGGTTAGTACGTAACATGGATTAGTAATTTATGTTTCGTAATAGTGCTATTGTTAATATTTATGATATGGTAAGCCGGTTTATATATACCCTGATATAATCATGAGCAGTCCTATAGTAGTGCATTTGGTTATTTTTGCATATGGTTTTCTGACATTTTCTAGCCCTGTTACTGGGCTCAGTCGTATAGCAAGGCATGACATCCTTAACCCTTTGCCTTACATGCATAATACTTTGCCTTACAGTCTAGATCACAACTCTGCAGTCAGACAGTGTACTTATGTATTAAGTCTACTGATACCTGATGTCACGAAAACAACAGGACAGAGTAGCTCAGCCAATGTTGATTTTGTTAACCTGTGTTTTCATATCCTACTTGTCTTATCTGGAGATGTAGCCACAAATCCTGGTCCAGCTAAGCTGAGGCAAGTGAAAGACCCATGTGCAGTATGCCAAAAAGGAGTCAGGACAGGAATAGAGTGTGAGGTATGTACCAAATGGTTTCATCCTACATGTGCAGGTATATCAAAACTGTTTTTTCAAACATACCTTAGGTATGAAACCCTTGAGTGGACCTGTTACAAATGTGAATTTGCGCGCCTTGCACATCTTCCTGATGTAGAGTCAGATGCTCGGTTGGGTTAAGGCAGCCTATGGCATACTATGAGTAGTATTTCATACATATGCCTGTAACTTTTGATAGCTTGGTCGCACCACAACTAAACTTCACACAGTTCTATTAGTACTTGAAACACATTGAATAAAGTTTTTGTTTTGTTTTTACTACTTCTGAATTTTTGGGTTAAAAATCAACATTTTGGTTAAAAAAGCTGTTTACTTCATGGTTTTACGTGCAAGCGGTAACAACACCTTTCATCATGATATTTTACAAGTAGAAAGCCAACCCCCTATTTGTTACTTTTGTCCGAGGCTGTTTTGTTTTAAATGACAGTTACATTGTTTTTTTTTGGGCCAAAAACGACAGAAACAGCTATTTTTCTGTCATTTTTCGTTAAAAAATCACCACAGTTTAAAAATATTGACTTATATGCAAAATAGCCCCGGACAATTTTGATAAAAAAGTGTTAATACGTTAAAATGAATTACTCTAAAGATCAATTATGCTGTTTTCAGCTGCGCGTAAAGCCGTTTAAGTCATACTCCGTGAATAAAATGCGTAACAAGAGTTCCACGATCTCATACCTTCGCCAAATGATGTTAACCCTTGTGGTTGACAAATTATACAATTTAAATCATTGATTTTGTAAATAAGAACCCCATTTGCATGGATTTTATCAGTTGATCATATTCTACACCCAATGACAGCCTTATCTTAACAAAAATGCTATTATAGCACTTCCTCATAAATTATGCAAATGAGGCCATGATTGAATAAATTATGTTTGTTGATGTTCACCTTCACTTAACTTCCAAATGTGGCAAGTATGAAATTCCCAGCAGTTACAACTATGAAATTATAAAAATTTGCCATTTATTATGCAAATTAGGTCCTCATTTACATAATCTATATCCTCAGATGTTTTTTCTCGTTCTCACAAATGTCACAAGTGTTTCATAGGTCTATTATCAAACAAAGCAGATTTATAGAATTTCCTCATTAATTATGCAAATTAGCTCCTGATTTGCATAATTGTCATCTGATCATGTCAAGCATCACTTCAACTACCTACATACCAAAAATCACGACAATCCGTCAACCGGTTCTTGAATTATCCTCCTTCGAAAAATTTTCAACAAATGCTCCTGCAGTTCCAGAACAAGCCGCTAGGGGACCCAAACTCATGTCACTTCTTCCCTATCCCAAGAGCTATCTGCCATCCAAAATTCGTGTCCCTAGCATGTCCAGATCACGAGATATCAAAACCGGAAGTTCTGCTGCAGTACCTAGGAAAGCCACCAGGGGGCCCAAAATCTAATCACTTCTAGGTCTCATGAAGACCTACCCACCTACCAAGTTTCATTCCAATCCATCCACCGCTTCTCGAGTTATCTTGCTAAACCACACACACACACAAACCCACACACACACAGACAAACGCTACTGAAAACATAACCTTCTTGGCGAAGGTAACAATGCGGGTTTACAGGGGAAACATACAAATGACCGCCGGTAACTCCGAATTCGAACACGCGTTCTATTCGAATGACGTCATATTGAACATGGTGGAACATGATTCGGGTTTGAAACATGTCTGTGGCCATCGTGCAGACACACGCCCGAACTCTAACATGAATATCAGCCTAGGCCGCCTTAACCCAACTGAGTGACTAATCATCAACATTCCCTACTTGTATCCTGGATTCTCTAACAACACATCCTATATTTCCTAAGGAGTCTGGGAACAAAGCTCTGTTACTGGCTCACCAAAATATCAGGAGCCTTCCAGCTAAACATATGTTCCGTGAGGTGCTTACCCAAGAAAGTGGAATTGACATTCTTGGCTTGACAGAAACACATTTGACTGAGGATTATCCAGATAATGTATTAAATCTTCCAGGATATACTTTCCTGTGCGAAGACAGAGGCTCACGCCATGGTGGAGGTGTAGCCATGTACATTAAAACACATATTGCCTATCGTGAAAGAAATTACCTCAACATTGAGGGACTAGAAGCAATATGGATTGAGCTAATGCCACAAGTGGGCAAACATTTATTGATATGTTGTACATATAGACCCCCTTGTGATAACACTTTC